AGCGGTATTTGGAGAAACTGGAGGAATGAGAACTGCTATCAGAAAACAAAGACAAGAAAATGAAAAAAGCACATCAGAATGGAGCCATTTAGTAAAAGGGCATGTAGCTCTCAGTGCCTTAATTAGACTATCACAGTAGAATAACTGTTGTTAATAATGATCATTTTGACATCAAAAAAGATTTAAATGATTTTCATATATTGTTTAATAAGATAGCAACGCATATTGTTTTAAAAAGATCACCTTCAGAAATTATTCTGAAAAATTTTAATGCTTAAAGAGGTTTAAGTTCTATAGAAAACTGGGATATCTAGAATGAGTCATTCTCCAAATATCCAGTTAGCCAGTTCTTTCTAAATTAGCCATGCATGTTTAGTCTCAAACCTATAGTTCTAGAATATAAATCTTGGTGGACAGAGTTGGAGTCATATTTATAATGTTTAAGTTTTCAGTCTGTGTCCTATACTAGGAATAATGAGCAAAAAAACCAAAAAAACAAAAACAAAAACAAAACACTTTCCTAAAATATACACAATGATTTATACAAAGATAATAATCAAATTCTCTTTTATAGCTGAATTCATTAATGGAAAGTCCTAGAAACACCAACACATAAAAACTGAATTAATACTTTAAATATACGGCAATCACATATTCAACCAAGTATTTTTAGCAAGTTCTTAGTAAAGAGTGATCAGGCAAACAAAAGTATGCTAAGCAGCCAAATAGGTACCACAAAGGCCATGCACATAACTGACAGAAAAGTCCCTTAGCCTTCTTTCAGTCTACTCTTATTTTAGACACAATTCTAGCAAGGTTGGCAATCTGGTTTCTCAGCCCACAGCAGATGAGAAGCAGCAGACTGGGGACCTAGTGCAAGAGGCAGGCACACAAGACAGCAGCAAAAAGTGACAGCTGATTTTAAGGGAAGATAGAGAAACTGTGAAAACCAGACCTAGCTCAAAAAGCAAAGTTCTGCAGGGTCACGGGGTAAAGGGGCATAGAACATTATGTATCTCAGTTGCTCCTGAGGGTGCATTTCTGTTTATTACCCTGTGAGAGGAACTGATATCCTTAAAGATGACTGAGAAAAAGTTAAATTATATCCTAAATATTCTAGAAAAAAGTACAGAAAGTACATTCTAAAAATTTTCCTATTAAATTATTTAAAAAAATTTTTTAAATGTTTTACTTATTCTTGAGAGACAGAGAGAGAGAGAGAGAGAGCATGAGCAGGGGAGGAGCAGTGCAAGAGAGGGACACAGAATCTAAAGCAGGCTCCAGGCTCTGAGCTGTCAGCATAGAGCCCGATATGGGGCTCAAACCCACAAACCTCAAGATCATAACCTGAGCCGAAGTCGGATGCTTAAACCGACTGAGCCACCCAGGTGCCCCTCCTATTAAATTATTAAAAACTGTTATGATTAAATGGATTTGCCTCAGTTACATGAAAAATTAACTCATGCAAGTTAGTCACCTGTCAATAATTACTGTCAGTTATTTACCTGTCAATAAATTGTTACTGTACTTATGGTATTTTTCCTATATTTTTGTTTCTAGTATGTTTACAGCTTCATTTTCTACTATAAGTGTGAATTACAGAGACATGTTGTGATCAACAGAAATGGAAGAATAAATCAATTTTTGCTTTGTCTGTGTTTCATTCATAGCATGCTATCTACTTTAGTTCAAATAACGAGTCTGCTGAGCTATAGCATAGTCTCATGGCATTTAGTTCTTATTTCCTTGTTTTTTTTGGGTATGGAAACAATGTCCTATGATTAAACCAAATCAGTTGAATTTTTCCTCCCACATGATTTCTAATAATTTATCAAAATACTTCATATTTTACATTACTTATAGTGTATAAGTCACTATAAGTCACCGGAGTGAAATGACTCCTAGGCTCCCTTCCAATTAACACTCCATTGATTTATAATTTTGTGAAATGTATCAAAACATAATTTTTTATGCTTTAACATTCACCACCTTTATTATGTGAATCAGAATATTAGCATTCATTTTTTAAAGAAAATTGACCTATTTTACTAACATAATTATAACCAGATCTTGTTTTTCAGCCTCAAAAGTTTCACTTCTTTTTTAACTATTTCTGAGGAGTAAGAATTTACCAACATGATTTAGCAATCCAGAGAATTTGGTTTTTGCTGGAAAAACTCCCCATGACATTATTAGGTCAACTGCACCCATAGCTTTTAAATGATGGCTCTGAGATTTAAAGTTAGATTAAAGTTTAATTTTGTATTAAAGCCTTTTTGTATTAAAGCCTTAAAACCATATTCTTAAATTTCCTTAGCAATTTGCCTTAAATGTGTTTCTCCTGACTTGTCTCCAATAACTTCAGAAATCAAACCTGAGTCAATACATGAGTTCTTAATTAAATATATTCAAACATACAATTTTAATGAAGTACAATTTTAAAGAAGACTTAACTAGTGAAGGCAGATAATACAGACAACTTAAAAAATAAGCCAAAGATCACAAATCAAAGACCAGTAAGAGTCTGGTCCTAGATAGTCCCGATATGCGGGTTTTAATAATGACAGGTGAAAAAAAATAAGAATTTAAGGTATGATAACCATTATTAGGTCATTTACTGCCATGACTTTCCTCACTGTAGGCAGAGTGTAAAAATTTTGTCCTCAAGAGTGACCCTAAATAGTTTCTGTACCGGCTCTGTCCTGATAAAATAAACTCTGGAAATGTTCATATCAAAAGCTGTCAGGATATTACTCTTAACAAGAATTATCCTGTCAAAATATCACTGTAAAATTTGGAAAGCATAATTACAAGTTTTGCATCACAAAATATTTTTCCCAGCGGGCTTCTTTTAGATGCAGGATGTCAACTATTAAAACTAGTCAAAAGCCTGATAATACAAAGTGAAATATTCTTAGAAAAGTAATAAGAATACCTACTTATGTCACATTGGCGTATTTGTTTTAATTTCCTAAGATATCCATGGCAAGGAAAACAAAGTCCTAGACAGAGGTTCTTAGATTTGACTGAGCATACACACCACCTAGGTCTCATCCCAAAATGACTGATTAAGAATGACTGGGAGTTATGGCCCCAAATCTGCATTTTAAAAATAAGACCTCCAGTTTATTCTAATATAGGCGTCCTATAAAAAACAAAAACAAAAACTGAGAAACACTGACTTTTAGACTACTATAAGAGAACATTAGGAATATTCACAGGGAAGATACTATTTTATCTCAGCAATATTTTATAAGATGAAAGACATTTTAAAAACTACACAAAAAAAGAACCTTCAATTAAAGTCCCAAGATCCTTATATTATGGTTTCAACAAGAAGAATATTTGCAGATAAAACAGATCAGATTGGAAGATTAGGAATTCCTCATTAAAATTAGTTTTTAAAAATTTATAACAAAATCAGTCTTTCAATGCTTAGAGAGCATTGAATAAAACTGATGAAATATTATGAAGACATTTTCCCCAAGCTGGTGTAAATAAAAATAATACAATAAAAGAATTAAAAATTATTAAACTCTAATTCTTCCTGTGTAAGGTCACAGATTAGGGGAACAATTACCAAGTGTTCCCATAATTGCTTCTTCTAAATCCAAGGGGAAACAGACTTGGCAAACTATGTAATCTAAAAAGAAAATATTATTATTTATGAATACGATTGTCAGTTTCAAAACAAGATTTTTGTTTTTGAAATTTAGCTACTTCTAAGTGGTAAACTGGGCCCACCCTGTGATATTTCTAAGAGCTTGATTATGGACAGTCCCAGAATTTTGGGCAATAGGCAGAATCACTTATAGTACAAAGGATCTCTACTTTTCATACAAAGCAGAATCAAGTTTTTCCTCAGGATAAAAAATAAATTTCCTAAGATTACTGGAAAAAATTAAATAAAAATCTCCTCGGTACACATAAATCTACTGACTCAAAGTACTAAATTTACAGGAATCTGAATGTGTTTCTTAATTCTAAAGACAATCTATATTCGTTGTGTAACTTCCTTTCTAGGACAGCAGCATAAATTATTATTCCTATACTTTCCCCAAATAATGTCTATAAACTATGTCAGTGCGTAGGAGCTATAGGTTTCAAGAAACAATATACTCCTGAAAATATCACATTTTGAAAATGCAATCATGACACTGGACAATTTGGAAAGCAACCTCTTTTAAGAGGTAGTTGTAAATGAAGTACTGAGGAGACAAGGATGCTTTCCAGGAAGCAGGCAGGATGTTTCCAGAATCTCATTAAGGTGGAGAGGATATAGCCTCAGGCTAGAAATCAGCTGAAATGATCTGCTTGTGTTAACGGCACCCAATTATCTGTAGGCAAATAGATACAAAGAACTTTCTGCAAAGGTGCCCACGGGGCCTTGGACTATACGGATCCGACTTTGACATCATCTCTATTAGTTATAACAAGAACAGAAGAAAAACACAAAATATATTTGAAAGGGTAATTTTTAAAACAGTACAATGTTTTTCTTTTAAAGATTATTAGGGCACCTTAAAATTAACTACCGAATACACATATGAACAAGGAAACATAAAAAAAAATGTCATAACCCCAGTATTTTTGAAACTACTTTTTAGTTCCAAACCCCAGTACACATTAATTGTATGAAGTCAATTTTTTTTTTTATTCAGAACCTGTATCTTTGTTTTAAGACTGGTATAAACAAAAATAAAATACAAACAAGTTGTTATTAACATAATAGCTGCAGCTATGAACTGCAAGAATACAGTAAAAAGGAGTCATACTAAATGTTAATGTTCTTGCAACAGAATTATCCCAGTCATTTTATGGTAGCAAATTCTGGCAAGAAATGATAAATGTGTTTCTTATTAAAAGTACCTAAAGAATTTCCAAGATCGATCAGCTGTGCTGCAAAAAAAAAAAGAGCAGTTTATTCAAAAGAGCCCTTACCTTTCTTATTTTCCTAAAAGATTTGCCATTTACAGGTTAACTACTATTTTCAGATCAGTTGTTCAAACCAGGGTTCTTGCTGTAAATTCACATCTTAGCTTTATATATAGTAAACTTAACACTCATTTTCCCTTTCTAGTGGATTATCTAGCCTTGAAGCTAAAACACTTGCATAAAAGCAATAATTTAAAATCCTCCATGTAAATCTTGGTTCCTACTTCTCTTGTACCTCATTTTCATTTTCTTGTACTATCTGTTCTTCCTCCTCATCACCAAAAGTCTGTTCCTGCATGGTGGTAAAAGAGAGAGATCTAGCAGCCACTTCTGCAGCAAGACCAGCAGTGAAGGTAAAATCCGGTGACAGCTGGAGCCGTGCCAGCCTCTGCTTAATGGAAGGCTGTAATAAGTCCCCGGGAGCTGGATGGGCAGTGGACAGGCTCCCTACGTCCGCCTGCCGAGATTCCTCTTCACTCTCACATTGGGAACACACTCTTTCTTCAGCTCCTTGGAGGAAGACTTCATTTGCAGAATTGTCTTTATTTTTACCATCTAGAGGGTTTTCACATAAATACTCAGTCCTACTACTTATTTCATTGTCAGCTGTGGAGGGTTTACTATTTTCCTCTTCAGTATCATTTTTACCAACTGTCCCCATATCTGAATCCACTGATGGTTCTGAATTACTTATGGGTTCCACTGGGTCTACAGGAGACAAGGATTTCAACACAGCTTCAAAGAAAAAAAAAAAAAAGAAAGAAAGAAAGAAAGAAAGAAAAAGAAAAAAAAAAGAAAGAAAAATAATAACTAAGGACCCAACAATGATTTGAACTTTAATTTAAACTTCCAGTCGTTATTTTTCTAATAAAGAACAATAAATAAAAGCTAAATAAATCTTTCTATTAAATCTATATACATTTATAAATCCAGAGAACTTTGTAAGAGATAAAATGCCTAAGAAATGAAATGAGATGGGGTTTTAATGAAGATTTTAAAACACCTCACACATTGTATTATTCAAAATATTAAAGCAGTGGTTCTCAAAGTGTGGTCCCCGAACCAACAGCATCAGTTATTTGGTAGAAATGCAAATTCCCACCAGGACCTACTGAATGGCAAACTGTGAATGAGGACTGGCTGTGTTTACAAACCCTACGCTTGATTCTGATGCACACTAAAGTTTGAGAACCATCTTATGAAAGAATAAGCAGCATGATTTTTACTGATAATATGTCAGATAAAAGGCCTGAAGTAATCCAGATAATAATCATATCTTTAACACATATATATTTACAAGTGAAAACAGTATGGGGAAAAAAAAATGCACACAATCCTATTCGCTTGCCAACCACCTAACAAGACCCGGATGAAAGTAAAGCCATAACTTCCACACATTTTGTAATGTCACATAAAAGTATAAAACAAAATAAAATCTGTATTCAAGATCAACTACTGTACAAAGCATAATACATAAACATTATATCCATACGGCAGAAGGTGTCCTTTCAAGGAAAATGAAGTTTTATTTAGCCCCTCTTGATGTTAGTAGGCAGTGGGTTGCTTGCTAGGCAGTCTCTCCTCCCAGTATGAGGGGTTAGTACAATACAATATATTAGGAAGCATGACGGAAGAAAAACAAGTGCTTCTTGAAGATCTCGCGTTTATTTAAAAAATAATTTGTAAAAGGTGTCCATTTCCAAGAAACAGATCCCTAAGCTGCAGTAACTCCACTAGAGAAGCAGCAACAACAGAAAACAATGGCCACAGCAGGTTCCAGTGTAGAATATCCCTCTCTAATTCCATGCGGACTTTACCCCTGTAGGCAGAGATGAAAACAACTCTGGAAGATGTACTGAAATTTTTCACGGAAAAAGCATTTTATGGTATCAGCAGCTTTTTACTTATTTCACAAACAAAATCAGCAATACTGCGGTTTCTAACGTAGCTACCCAAAGCATATACCTGAAAAAAGACACATTTCTCTCATTATATCTTTGCCCATACTGTCAGTAGGATAATTTTAAAGCTATATGGAGAAAATACTAAACAATAGAAAGGATACAAATGTATATACAAGGCTATTCTCAGTCTTCATGTACATTTTTAGGCAATAAATCTAGTTCTTAAAGAATGCAACATGTATTAGATGTTGATTGATATCCCTGATTATTGCTAATTAAATAGGGCAATATAATCTGCACATCTGGAGGATCAAGTGTTAACATTGCTAGAATGTAAAGCTCCAGGAGTACAGGGATTTTTGTCTCTTGATTTATGCACTAGGGATATAGCAGTAAACAGTGCCTCAGTAACTACTTGTTGAATGAATAATTTGCTGAATGAACACTGTGGGGGATAATAAAGCTCCTACTGAAAGAGACTGTAATTTCATTATAGAGACAAAAACACTGAATGCACAGAAAACAATAGTGCCTAAAACCATACTCTCAATCCCTGATTCATGCAGACCCAAAATATGAACAAGCAGGCTGCAGGAACTCTTTACTGCTGCACCTGGGAAGTTTTTAATCTGGTACATATGTTGCTGCTCAAGACACGGTTACAATTCCCTCCAGGGCCCCTCTGGTGTGAGGGTCTGTAGTGGTGGGAGAGGTAGCAGGGCTGGAACAGAGGATTCATGGAGGAGCAACTGGTAGAAAGGACAGCTTGGTGGAGAAGACAGAATTCTTAGCAAAGAGATCAGCATGTATGTTTTTATTTTTTAAGTTGGTTTTTTTTTTTTTTTTTTTAAAGTAAACTCTACACCCAATGTGGGGGCTTGAACTCACAACCCCAAGATGAAGTCGCATGTTCTATCGACTGAGCCAGCCGGGCACCGCAGCATGAATGTTTTTCATGAATAAAAATAGTAAGTTTGTGGGACCACAGTCTAATTAGATAAATATAACCAGAGGAGGATATCCATATCAGAAAGAGTGATAAATGTAATTAAATATGATGGATTCATATGATAGAGAGGCTTGAAACCAGGAAAAAGAGTTTAGATTTAATAGAGTGGGAAAGGGGGAACCACTGCAGGTTTTAAAGATAGAGAGCTATCAGGGCACCTGGGTGGCTCAGTTGGTTAAACATCCAACTTCAGCTCAGGTCATGATCTCACGGCTCATGGGTTCGAGCCCCTGTCAGGCTCTGTGCGGACAGCTCAGAGCCTGGAGCCTGCTTCAGATTCTGTGTCTCCCTCTCTCTCTGCCCCTCCCCGACTCATTCTCATTCTCTCTCTCTCAAAAATAAACATTAAAAAAATTAAAAAAAAAAAAAAAAAAGCAGAGAGCTATTATCATTGTACTGTTTGAGAAAAATCTGGAGGCAGCCTGCAAGGACAGAAGCTAGCTTAGAAGCTATCTTCTAAGGAAAGCTTAGAAGAAAAAGGTATTGAAAATAGAAGTCAGCTGGGGCGCCTCGCTGACTCAGTACAGCATGTGACTCTTGATCTTGGGGTTGTGAATTTGAGCCCTATGTTGGGGGTAGAGTTTACATAAAAAAAAAGAATGGAAGTCAGTTAAGAGGCTATTACAATGTATGAGCATAATCTAATAAGGATCTGGGCTATAAAGGGGGCCAGTGGGAAGAGGAAGGATGAAATCAACAAAGGTGTATCTGGACATGGGACAATGGCAGGACTCCTAAGAGAAGAAAAGAGAAATCTGAGGAAATTTCCAGAAGTACAGGTAATCTATATACTCCCAATGAAAAAAAGAATGGGAAAGGAAGGCAGTTGATTTTGAGGTTTCAGGTAAGTACTCTAAAATGGAAGAGGAATCGCACTCTACCTCTTGGAAATCTACAGGAGTTAATTCCTCAATTAGAAATTAGCTAGTCTGATACTGTCAAGATACCCTCATTCCTTCCCTCACCTCGCATGAAGTCCAACCAAAGAAAAGAGTGGCAAACATAAAGGAGTTTAATGCTAATCGTCAGTATTGTCAAATCATCCAATTTTGTCAATATTGAAGTACGGAGACAGCTTGCGCAGAAGCACCTCCTCTTGTCCCATCTACTTAACGTGTTCAAACCAACTGAGAAACCTTAATGATGTAGCTAACTGGCCTAGGTCTTAATCCACTTGTTTCAATGATGAACGTGGAGTTACTAATTTGATGCTTCATTGAGGTATTTATAATATCAACCTAAAGAGAACAGAGTTTAGAATCTCAAATTCACTAATCTGATGCTTCACTGAAGTATTGATAGTATCCACATAAAGAGAAGAGTTTAGAATCTCAAATTCACTAAATTTGAAAACATATTTATTCAACTCACTGCCATTCCAAAATAATTTAGTAAAACATCAAGTTACTGATGAAAAAGCTTGATTTCATATTCCCAATTTGATTATATACCTAGTCTTTTATTGATCATATTGATTTTGTGTCTAGAAGAAAAAGCACTATACTTGCTGAGAGATCCCTAAAATTAAAGCTGTAAGAATTACAGCTAAAATAAAAGTCGTAGTTCAAGAAAAAAGAGTCCCCTTCATTAAAATAACCTTTTACTCTGAAGTCAGTGCTTACCGTGATCACTAAATAGAAGTTGCTTCCACTTCTGCCTTTCTGCCTCCGATGCTTTAAATCCCAGCACAGATTTTAGTTCTTGGAGTACCCTCTTGGATTCTTCATGCTCACGCTTCTGTCTGTCTCTGTCTTCTTGAGACAAGTAATAAAAATCATCCTTTCTGAAATCACTGTCCATATCTATATCGTCTACGTAAGCTTCTAATTCCTGAAAATGAATAAAGAAAAAGCACTTTACTTCAAGCAGACAATTTTCTAGTAGCATTCATTACCTTGTACCTACTCATCTCCAAGATTAAACAATGAAGACTCTTGGCACAGGTCACTAAAGCAAAGGTGGGCAAACAAAGCAAACATATTATTATAGGTAAATTGAAGTCTTAAAAAAACTTAGCAGTTGATAATGAAAGGGACCGTGGATAAGAAAGTTTAATAACTTCAATCATTATTTTTCTGCTCTGATACCATCCTGTAGATCTAGTTAATATTATAGTTATTAGCTCTGCCAAAACAAATCAAAATTAGAAGGGCTGGTGGTTTGGGGAAGTGGTCAGGTATATTAGCCTTCTTGTGGCTGTATTTGTGGTTCTTTCTGACTTCCCAGGAGGTTTGAACACTATTCCTAGAATTGGGGAATACCTCATCTTATGGTTCTTCTTATCACTAAGACACAGACGAGGCCCCTTGCTTACCCAGCCTCCCTTGCAGTTATGATTCAGGCAAATGACTCGGGATCCTCTAATCATATGTATATAGATCAGATAGGACCCAGAAGTTTGTTACAAGGGAAGCAGGCGTTTTAAGGAATCCACTCTGGCAAGAATGGTGGCAGATCAAGTTTCCAGAGGTAGAGGTTCTGAAGGTAGTTTTTATTATTCAGCAATGATGGAGCGAGTGACAATGTCTGCAACCAGTGACTGGGCAATGATGTTGCTGGAACTGGAACAGTTCTTTTGAGTAAATTGGGCTGTTTACCCCATCCTAGTTCAAACATAACTATGAGGCCCTCAGAGATATTCTGTCAGTCACCTCCTGGTTTTTTAAACAAATTTCTTGTTTGTTAAACAGATTGGTCTCCCTTTGCAATTAAGAATGCTGAGTAGACAATATGACTGAAGGAAAAAAAGTTTTCCTTAGGATAAACAAAATAAATCTTTGTCAGTATCGAAAGAAATCATTGAAAAATTGGTTTTTTTAAGCAAGGTATAACATACATGCTGCCAAATACACAAATCTTAAGTGTACAGGATTTTTACATATGTATACAGTCTGGTAACCACCACTCACATTTCCAGTATTGTAGAAGGCACCTTTGCCAATGCATTAATTTTTAAGGTATTTAATCACTTTTAAGTGTCTAAGAAATAGACAGTAAGATACAAATAACATGAAAACTTGCTGGTAGGGGCACCCGGGTGGCTCAGTTGGCTGAAAGTCTGACTTTGGCTCAGGTCATGGTCTCACCATTTGTGAGCTCAAGCCCCGCATCAGGTTTGGTGCTGTCAGCACAGGGCCTGCGTGGGATCCTCTGTCCCCTTTTCTCTCTCTGCCCCTCCTCCACTCATTCATTCATTCATTCTCTCTCTTTCTGTCTCTCTCTCCCTCACCCCTCTTTGTCAAAAATAAATAAAATATTAAAGAAAAAAATCTTTATAAAAATTTGCTGGTAGATTCAGTGGATTCAAACTCAAGGTACTAAGAATTAATGATTTGTTATCAGTTCAATATATTGTGTGGTAATTTTGAAGCTCATTACAAACATAAATTTAACAACTTAGTCAGTAATGATCCACACCACTTACAGAGATAGATAGGTAAACTCTGTATGGGAAACTCTTCTTTAGGGGGAAGAAAACAGCAATTATCACCATTACCTGCTCCTCCGGGATTGGATCTTTGTCCGCGATGTGTAGAGTTGGCTGCGTCAAAGGTACCACAGTACAATGTGGGTTTTCACACACCGTTTCAGGCTTGCCTTAAAAAGCAATAAGCCACACAGAAATGAGTGAACATCGAATTAAAAAAAAAAAACATTTTTAGTACTAATATTTTGCCAATTTCATAGTCTGGCATTCTAATTATAACTTTCAATTTATAAAAAAATTAAGGATGTTAAAGTTAACAATGGTAATAGCGGTAGATTTACAATGTAAGTTAAACTCTCAGAGGAGAAACTTGTTTTCCTCTCCCTTCTTCACCTCACCATAGTATCTGGTTCACAACAGGTACTTCCTCTCTAAATACTCGCTAAACAAATCAACTTTTGTTCATGGCATGGGAAATCTCAAGACAGACCATCACTCTTCCCCACAAAAAATAAACTTCAATCTTACATTTCCCTTATATTATTTTTACTCTCAGAAGTTAGACTTGGAAATGGGTTTCACAAGTCATAGCTTGAAAAGATCACCCAGGTGTTAACTTTAATTACTTAACATTGGTATTTGGTATCTAACCATGGGGTTCTCATATTCTCATACCTAGCTCTCTACCTTCCAACATTATCTCTCTACTTAAAAAGAAGTAGGCTTGGGCACCTGGGTGGCTCAGTTGGTTAAGCATCTGACTCTTGGTTTTGGCTCAGGTCATGATCTGTTTGTGAGTTAGAGCCCTGTGTTGGGCTCTACGCTGACAGTGTGGAGCCTGCTTGGGATTGTCTCCCTCTCTCTCTCTCTGCCCCTCCCCTGCTCACTCATTCTCTCTCAAAATAAATAAATAAACATTAAAAAGAAGTAGGCTTTAGGGGTGCATAAGTGGTTCAGTCAATTGAGTGTCCGACTCTTGGTTTTGGCTTAGGTATTACCTCACGGTTCGTGAGACTTCGGCTCTGTGCTGACAGTGCAGGGCCTGCTTGGGATTCTCTCTCCCTCTCTCTCTCTGGCCCTGCCCATGCTTGCTCACTCAGTCCCTCTCTCTCTCTCTCTCAAAATAAATAAACTTAAAAAAGAATTAGGCTTTAGACATCTAGATTTCTACCTTTTAAAAGTAATGACAGATAACTGGTTGGGACCAGAGTTAGGGGAGACTCCTGGCTGTCAAGGGCTAGTGTGGACAAAGCAAGCTGGACTGGAATGAGATAGGATGGGAAGGACTCTCACTAGGTGTGAGTCAGCAGCAATGTGGCTTAGGAGACAGTCCATATTATCAGGTGATTGCTTACATACAAGGCATTGAATAAGTAAGTTAATACCGAAGATAATGAGAGCCAAGTTTCTCATGGTGGTACAAATATACAGAGGGAGAAGTACAGGAAGAACCATGGAACTGATTTGGAGGTATCGATGTGAACCCATGGTTTATAACATATATGGACAGATGTAGGAATATGTATGTATAAGTATATACACAGATATATTTCACTGTCCTCTACACTGAAAATTGGTAAAAACAAGAACATCCCAGTGGCTGTGAGCATACTTAGCACCCACAAGGGGCACCCCTTAGGGCTAGGGGCAAGTAAAGTATAAAGAAGTGATCAAAAAATGACACAAACTTTAAATGGGTTCCCTCTGGTCAAACTTTGTACAATTTGAGCAACAAAATAACAAATTATGATCCACAGAATAAAATAAGAATCCATACATTCATATTGATATAAATAAGCAGAAAAGGGGGATGCTTTGGCTCACAATAGAATGCCAACTAGTAAGTATAAAAGGAAAAATGGAATTAGAAAATTACCATCTGGCAACCATCACAATAATATCTAATTCAAGCAAGATCCACAAATGGATGCTAAAACTAGTGGGGGGAAAACATTTAAGCTATTTTCTTTTACTCAATAAAATTCACTCTTGTTGGTATATAATTTTATGAGTTTAGACAAATTAGAGTCATATAACCACTATCACCACAACTAAGATAGAGAACAGTTCCTTCACCTCAAAACATTTCTTATGTTATTCATCTCTCCATATCCAACTCCCAATAACCATTGGTATGTTTGCTGTTCCCATGAAATTTTACTGTTTTAAGAATGTCATTTAAATGGGATCATAGACTACGTAGTGATTAACACAACGCATTAGTGATTCCTCCGTCTTAATGATGTATCAGTAGTTCATTTCTTCTTTTTTTGCTGAGCACTATTCCATTGTGTGGATGGATAGAACAGTTCATCTATTCACCAGCTGAAGGACACTTGGTCTGCTTCTAGTTTTTAGTGATTATGAATAAAGCCATTATAAACATTTGTTTATAGATTTTCATGTGAACATTAAATTTTTATATCTTGTGAGTAAATATCTGGAATACTAGTGCATCATATAGATTGTATATGCTTAATAGTGAGTAAATATTTGGTGAAGAAAGGATATTTATATAACCTCAGGATATTTTTTTTTAATAAAATACTTATCATGAAAGACAAGAAAAGCTAAAGTGAATGAAGAGCATAAAAGCTAAATGCCATGTGTAATCTGGACATATAGCATTACTATTGTATCAATCAGTGAAATTAGAATGGGATCTGTGGATTAGAAAGCAATTTATATCAGTGCTCATGTCTTCATTTTGGTGGTATATTGTGGGTATGTAGGAGAATGTCCATTTTTCAAAAATGCAAACAGAAAATTTAGGGGTAATGTGGTCTCATGTCTGCATCTTACTCTCAAATGGTTCAGAATAATACTACCAAAAGAGGGGCACCTGGGTGGCTCAGTCGGTCGAGCGTCCAACTTCAGCTCAGGTCATGATCTCGCAGTTTGTGAGTTTGAGCCCCATGTCAGGCTCTGTGCTGACAGCTCAGAGCCTGGAGCCTGCTTCAGATTCTGGGTCTCCCTCTCTCTCTGCCCCTCCCTGCTCATGCTCACTCTCTCTCAAAAATAAATAAACATTAAAAAAAAAAATACTACCAAAAGAATTTATACATGGATACATAAGGAGGTAAGGCCAATATGGCAGAATGTCAACAACTGAGGAATATGGATGAAGGGTACCGTGAGCTATGGTGATACCTCTGTAGTTTTAAAATAACTTAAAAAAGAGCTAACAGCTAGGGCACCTGGGTGGCTCAGGTGGTTGAGCATCCAACTCTTGATTTTGGCTCAGGTCATGATCTCACGGTTTGTGAGTTTGAGCCCTGTGGTGGGCTCTGCAGGGGCCTCCTTGGGATTCTCTCTCTCTTTCTCTCTGCCCTTCCCTCGCTTGCATGAGCATGCATGCGTGAGCACTCTCTCTCTCAAAATAAACAAATGAACATTAAAAAAAACCAGCTAACAGCTAAATAAATCACCTGCTTCTTAAAAAATATCATATAAATATTTTATTCAAAGTTGTATAGCCATGGCCACTATAAGTGTTTTACGGAGAAAAGTTTGAAAATGACTTGTATCTTAATTCTTATCACTATCACCTATAAGCAAAAGCCACATATGGAGAACATAATGACTTATCACCAGCCCGATGATTTGGAGATAGTTTTGACAATTATGTTTAAGTGACTAAGATTCAGCATCTCAGAGTATGCTAAGGGAAGGGATGAATGGGATGTATCTTTTAATACCCAGTGGTGTTCTGAATGTTTCCATTTGAAGAAAATGTACTCAAAAGCTCTAGACTTAAGTCACATCAGAAAGTTTAACATGCATAAATATTTGCACATATTAAAAATCCTTGGCAAATTTACCCTTTGAAGAAAAAAATTACTTGCCAATTACATTTTAGATATAAAGGAAATCTATTGGTGATGTATCAGTAATTAGCATGTTAACATTTCCTTTGAATAAAGTTAATACTTTCCCTATGTAAAGACTTATTCAGCTTCTTAAAGACATTGAAGTATTACAGATCTAGCTGGAAACAAAAAAATGACTAACAGGATGATAAAGCATTAATCATCTTTGCCAGCAATACAATTTCTATACATAAATCTGATTAACTTTATCATAAAGGTCCAAGGGATAAACATGGTATTGTTTGGTAGCACAAGTTCAGAAATTAATATGCCAAATATTTACAATGAATTAGTGATTAGTAAAAATGGGTCAAATTAAAGCAGTTTCGCATAAAATTTCAAGATTGCCAATTTGCATAGCAATACAAAGCATTCCAATGTTACCATTAAATAATGGCATTTAATACATTTTAGACTCTTAATAACAAGTATGCAGTGCCACCTATTATAGCATTTATTTATCATTTATGAATGGCTGAAGTATTTTATCTTAAAAGCAAGATTCAACTTCTGGCCCCTAACTATCAAACTCATTATTACACTAATGGGAAAAGAGTTTCTAAAAGTTCTAATTATGGAATACTACCTATTAAAATCTATCCCTTCATTTAAGTTCATTATTATTATTTTTAATGTTTATTTATGTTTGAGAGAGAGAGAGAGAGACAGAGCACAAGTGGGGAAGCCACAAAGAGAGAGGGAGACACAGAATCTGAAGCAGGCTCGTCAGCACTGAGCCAACGCGGGGCTCAAACTCACGGACCGCAAGATCATGACCTGAGCCAAAGTCAGACACTTAACCAACTGAGCCACCCAGGTGCCCCTCACTGAAGTTTTTGAAAAGGAGGTTTACGATTCAGAGAACTTTCAAAACATATTCACTTACTGTTTACAAAGTAAGAGCCAGACTATATATTCAGTGTCAGTTTGTATGTATAAGTTCAACTTTCTTTTAGTAAATTAAGTTTTGTCATGTCGCTTTCATTGTGGAGATGAGAAATCTACCTAATAAAACCCTACTGGAGTGGAGTAAGCATGTCTGACAAGTGTGTATGAAAGGAAGCACTCATTGGTACCTTTCCTATCTGTGTTTCTTCGGAGCAGTCGGTCCACTTGAGAAATGGCCTCTTCCCAGCAATTGTTGCTCGCCTGAACATGGGGCTGAATCAACTTCAACTTCTGTTCTAGGATTTGATAAGATTCTGATACTAGTTCTTGTGTTTCTTTAGTACAAACAAGCTTTTCAAGTTCATCTTCAAGAATTATTACCCTGAGTAATAAAGAAAAACAGAAACTGATTTCTAAAATATTAAGTGGAAAATTTATAACTCACAGGACTTATTTAAGAAATAAGCTTAAAAGATGAAGTTCTGGAGACGGAAAGTGGTGATGGTTCCATAACAATGTATGTTTACTTTTTTAGGCCACTAAATTGTACACTTAAAAATGATTAAATAATACATTTCATGTTACGTGTATTTTATCATAATGTTGTAAAAAGCTTATAAAGAGTATCACCTATTTATTCAACAATATTTCTTTTACATATATGAGGCATTTTATGAGCTGAAATGATAAATTAACCTCATTTCATACTTAATAGGAAAAATAGCTAAATCAGGGAAATTATGCATTATAGAGAAATATAATACAATATCATAAAAAGTTATAACTAACATTTTATTTCCATTTTACAGATGAGGAATTAGGTCCAGAGAGTTAAAGAAACTTGCCCAGTTATACAGCTGTTAGCTGTAAATATGGGCTGAAGCTAAGCCCCAAAGTATAATACCACAGAAAGATAGTGTTATAAGAATTCAGAAGAGGGGGAAGGTGCTACCAGCTATGGGTACAGACAGGGAACAGCTAAGGAAAAGGTACTTTTGAGGAAGCATTGAAGGATGGATAAAATGTGAACATGTACAAAAGATGAGAAAGTTCATTCTAAATGGTATATGGGAAAAGGCATTTATGCAGTTTGTTTGGACTGAAGGAAAAGAATGAGAAGGACTGAAAAGCAGACTATAATAGAGTTATAGCAAATTCTCTCAATAGAATGTTTTACAGACTTCAGTCTCTGCTGCTTTTACTCTGTAACCAGTGAAGATGTTTAAGGGAGAAAGCAAATATATGCCTCAGAAACATTAATCTGGCAGGGAGCTCTCTGGAGGCAGGGAGAACAGTTAAAGGGTTAATGCCCTAGTATCAGCAACTGGGAAAAGCAATGGGGACAAGTGAGGAGGAGGAGTGAAACACAAAACAAATGTTTTTGGAAGTGTTCAGACAACACTTCTAAAAAATTTTGTGTAGCTGTGCTATAGAGCAAATCAGAGATGATGGTTTGTGACCGGTATACTGTTTGAAAGGTGACGTATAGTAGCATATATAGAATATTTCATTTTTAAGCTGGAGACATCCTTCCCATGCATAATCCACAATCTCTGCCCGAGGCACAAAGCCCCTCTTGTTCATGTCCATCCAGTGCGGCCTTTCTTCCCTGAGCCATCCTCCCTCACTCTAATGCATTCCATTATGTCTTGTGTAGTTCTGATTCTACTGCCAAAAATTAATTCTTTAGAGACTCTAGCTTTGCCCAATACAACCTTTCCACTGAAATTTTTTCCTGACAAAGGCCCGACCTTTGTTGCCCACTCAAGTAGAGATTGCCTTGTCTCCCATACTCCCTGTGGGAGATAAGACTGAGTCAGGTTAGCATTCATTCATCTGCTTTCTTAGAATAGCAGCTAGAGACCAGCTCAGACAGTAAACAGATGGGTAAAAACTTACCTTCTCAAAATGTTTTTCTCACCTTAATTTCCTATTTTTATTCATCATATCCTTCCTCACTCCAGTGAACTAGCCCTTTGATTTTACTGAGACTTCAAATGCTTTTGACTTGTTTTGTTCTATTTTGATCTTACAAAACGGACTCCTGCCCTCCCCTTCTACTTCTTGCCTGGTATCCAGGGTTGAGTACATCAACTACAATCTCATCAACTCATTAAGTTCCTATGACCTTCCTGATTACCAACACAACATGAACCCAACCATCCATCTGATCCAGCCCTACACTGCAAGTATCCGTTACAGAAAAATTTCACTGGAGTGACTGGATCCTACATTTGACCAAGGCAGAGTACCAATAATACCAGGCAAAGTAGAAGATAAACAAATATAAACTATGGACCCTGCACTTTACTATTCAACTGGGGCCAAAAAAGTTGGTCCTCTGATGTAGAAAATGTCCAAATATGCTTTATTTTTAAAAATTGCAATATGTTATTCTTCAACTATATATAACAATACCTCTTAAAACTTACTGTTCCAGTGCTGGCAGATACTTTTCTTAGACCGCAGGCTCCAGTTTAAGAGCCCCACTTAAAAAGAGTTAAAACAAGCTCAGTTTTCATAAACATCTCCATTTCAGCTCTCAAACAGAATGAACACCTGCTTTTGTCCTATGTTTCTAGGTTCTGGGCTGAAATCAGACAAAGTGAAAACGACAAATGACTCCCCAAATCATTCTTTCTCTGCTACATTCATAGCTATAAACTATCCTTCATGCTGCATGTCTTAATTTTGCTGCTACCTTCCAGTTAGGACACAAGCCAATCATCACAATGGCAGGAGAATGAAGCTTGCTGAACATGGGTACATTTTCTTATTTGGCTTCTAAACTTACTCATTCAGCAATGCCTTCAGATGGAGCTGAAAGCTGCGTACTGCTGTGTGAACGTTATTCAGTTCTCTTGACTTCTGCTGAGTCTTGGATAAACGCTGTGGTACTGACTGGTGCTGAGTTTCAAAGTACCGATAAAACTCATAGCTGCGTTTAAGCTCTTCCAAACAGGCAGAATGAGCATGAGGTAGACCTTGAGTCACATCAGATAAAATACAATGAGGCAAAAGTGCTGGAGTAAGTAAGGGCCCAGGAGGTGAATTAGCTGTAGAAAGTAATAGGGCTAACCGTCTGAAGAACTCTGAACTCTGTGCCACCCAGAGTTGAAACAAAACCTAGAAAGAAAACGGGACTACATCAATAAAAAAAACTGATCAAAATTCAAAACAAACCAATAATTTGTTTATCTTAACTTCTGGTTAAATTTCTCACTTTATCCTAAGTAATGAATACGGACGGCTGAGCTTGAACTAACCCTCAAGACTGGCTGAGAATGTTTGATCAAATTATGTAGTCATGGCATGTGGGAACTTCTAATACCAATATAGCTTGTAATACCAGTATATATTTTAGAACAGTTCTAACCCAGAAAAGTAGTGTTGATAATGAGATACATCTATTGTAAATGAATATTCCTTGATGAATTATTTACAAATTTGACACAAAGTAGGAAAGAAGACAGTAGGAATAATGGACCTGTAGAAGTCCAAAGAAATGAGTCAGTGATACATCCAGAGTTTAGGATTCAAAATTATACCATTATTTTGGCTTAGAAAATAGGTAAGAAATAACATAGGAGTGCATGGGTACCTCAGCCGGTTCAGCGTCTGACTTCAGCTCAGGTATTAATCTCAGTTTCTGAGTTTGAAGCCTGCACTGGGTGAGCTCAAGCCCCGCTTCAGGTGAGCCTCACTTCTCTTTCTCTCTCCCTGCCCCTTGTGGGATTCTCTCTGCCACTTTTCTCTGCCCCTTGCTCACTTGTGCCCTCTTTATCCCTCTCTCAAAAAGCCAAAAATAAAAATAAAATTACTACTGGAATCTTACCACATACACTGTTTTTCTAACTTGCTTTATTTTGTTTCTTCCATCGTACAATTTTTCGACTACTAATCCCAAAGAATTTGCCAATCTCATGTTACTTAGCTTTTAATTTGTTTCCAATATTTGCTGTTGTAGTAATATCATGGACATATTTCGAGTATATTCTGATTACTTATCTTTAAGCTTAAGATTACTGAAGAATACAGTATCTTTCTGAAGATTGGTATTTATTAACTGCTAAAGTGAGCCAATCTATACTTTTATTAATAGTGTGTGACTACTGATCTTCACAGATAATGAATATTATCAACTTTCAATAACCTTGGCAAAATGTCTACTTATTACTAACGAGATTGAATTGGCTTTTTTTTTTTTTTTTTTTTAGAGAGAGCGAGTGAGCGAGCGAGCAAGAGCATGTATGAGTGGCGGAGAGGGGCAGAGGGAGAAGAGAGAATCTTAAGCAGGCTCCATGCTCAGCGCAGAGCCTGACACAGGGCTCAAATCCCGCAACCCTACGGTCACGACCTGAGCCAAAGTCAAGAGTCAGACGCCCAACTGACTGAGCCATCCAGATGCTCTGAAACTGAATTGGCCACTTCTAGTTCTTCCTTTGTGAAACCAGTTCATGCACCACCTATCTTGTCTAGATTTAACATAACTTAGTGCTCTTTATATAGAAAGAATTCTATCTACCTTTGTTAAAAATCATTGCAATTTTTTTCATTTAGAAGCTTAATTCTTATATAGTCAAATATATCCTTTTATGTAGATTTTCCAAGGGAAGATACAGATCTTATATGCTGTTTACCCATGTTTGTTAAAACAAGTAGTCATAAAGTCACTCATGCTGGTTTTCTATTAATGTAAACTCACTATCTATAACTCTGATTTAAGGCAAGATATGCTTACAGTAAGAATTTTAAGTATTTTGATATCAGAATATAAGGATCTCCTCATTCAATCTTTATGATGCTCTCAACTTTTAAAGACAGCATCACATACATCAGGAAGGCTATTATGATGACGGTTCAGCAAGGGACCGGTGTCCCATTTACATTCAGATAGCACAGGCACAATCGGAGTGCAACTGTCTTTTCTTCAGCCCTTTCCACAGGCAGAGTACCTTCAAAGCAGGAAGGCTGAAGCCATCTGTAAGGTCATGTGCTTCCTCTTCTGAAATCTGCTCTTCACTAAGGCCCAGGCCCAGCTCCTTAAAAGGCACCACACAGATGTAGTTGGTTACATTGTCACTCTCAGAGTTCAGGGGGTAGGTTAAATTAAGTTAAGGCCTTTTCATTTAAAGTATAAAGGGTACAGTCATATCATCCCAAATTACCTTTACTCATCTTATTCTGAACTTTGACTGGAGGTGATTAATATCCATTAAAAAAAAAAAGAAACCAATCTTAAAATCTACTATATTAACAAACCTCAGGTATCTTACTACTAGTATACATGTGAATAAAATACCTTCATCTCTAAACAGTTAAAAGTTCAACTCTTTACAAGTGCTAACGTGCTAACTTAGTTATTTTTGACAAGTACCTTTTGAAACTGTATTGTGTACTTCGCTGTATCGTGGCTCAGGCCCTTTCTACACTACAGTACATACTTTTCTCTTCTTCCCAGTGCACAGGCTGCAGAACACCATTAGCACTAAGCCTGTTCTATCTAGGTTGTCCCACTCAGACTACTGGCCTGTTTCCTCTTTCTCTTCCTCATGGGCATCTATCAGCTTAATATGTGATTTTTTCCGCCTTCAACAGTTTTTATAAAGAATATATCCATACAATTCCTTGGGGTGCCTGGGTGGCTCAGTTGGTTAAGCGTCCGACTTCGGCTCAGGTCATGATCTCACGGTCTGTGAATTCGAGCCCCGCGTCGGGCTCTGTGCTGACAGCTCAGAGCCTGGAGCCCATTTCAGATTCTGTGTCTCCCTCTCTCTCTGCCCCTCCCCTGTTCATGCTCTGTCTCTCTCTGTCTCAAAAATAAATAAACATTAAAAAAAAAAATTAAAAAAAAAAAGAATATATCCATACAATTCCTAATACTGAACTATTTTTATATTTCCAGCATACTCTTATTTGATCATATAATATCTTAATATAGTGCTATCGCAAATATATAAATATTTCACTTAAATATTTTGTATCTCCATCTGTGAGATTGGTCTAGTTTTTTCTTCTTTATAATACATGTTTTGGTATTGCAATTACAGAATCTTCATAAATAAAATGAGGTAGTAGAGGCTTCCTAACCTTTCCTATGGTCTGAAATAGTTTTTTAAAAAAACTATAAAACCATCTGAACCTGGTAGTTAAAATTTCCTTTATTCATTTAATTTTTAAACATGTAATATATTCACAGGATTGAAAATTCATAAGGTATAAAAAAATTCATAAGGTATTAAGGGGCACCGTAAAAACTGCTTCCTACCCCTGTCCCTTAGCTACCTCATTCCCCTAGCTAAAGGCACAGACGATAACTGTGATTAGTATCTCTCAAGATAACCTGTGTGTCTCTTTTTTTTTTTAAGTTTATTTTGAGAGAGAGAGAGAGAGCGAAAGAGAGCGAAAGAGAGCATGAGCAGGGGAGGAGCAGAAAGAGAGAGGGGAGACAGAGAATCCCAAGAGGGCTCTGTACTGTCAGCGTGGAACTGGATGCTGGGCTTGACCTCGCAAACCAGAAGATCATGATCTGAGCTGAAACCAAGAGTTGGACACTTAACCAGCTGAGATACCTAGGTGCCCCTTCTTGTGCACCTTTCAAGATACTTTATGCATGCATAAAAGCAAATCCAAATATAAATATGTATGTGGATATATACACATACACATATTCCCTCATATGTATTTATAATCTCCCATATATACAAATAGTCTCATATATATGTGTATGTGTGTATACATACACACTTTTACGCGTAATCGAAGGGTAGCATGAACAATGCTGTGCACTTCATTCTTTTTTTCAACAATTTGGATATCATTCCATAGTAGTGCATCAAGAACTTTATCACTTTTCTATACCTGCAAATTTTCCATTGTTTACATAAAATCAGGTGTTTTCCTTCTTTCTTTTTCTTTCTTTCTTTCGTTCTTTCTTTCTTTCTTTCTTTGTAAGTTTATTTGAGAGAGAGAAAGAGAGAGACAGGGAGAGAGAGAATGCATGGGGGAGGGGCAGAGAGCGAGGGGGACAGAGGATCCGAAGTGGGCTCTGTGCTGACAGCAGAGAGCACCATGTGGGGCTCAAACTCATGAACCATAAGATCATTACCTGAGCTGAAGTCAAACTTAACCCACTGAGCCACCCAGGTGCTCCCAGGTGTTTTCTTTTTTAAAAGTTGCTGCCACAAAGTTGTATATACAATCTCCTTATAATTATTTTAATTTCTTCCATATCTATGGTTATAGCTCTGTTACTAATTTTGTATATTTGTACTCTTTTTACTTTGACCAGACATGTGAGGGTTTATACTGTTTGGTCTTTTTGAAGAAATAGTTGGTGGATTCTTTTTTATTTTGATTCCTTAAGGTTTCTTGTGTGGTAAATATGTTCTGGTTCCTGCCTACCTCTGAATGTCACCTAATGCCCCAACTCCCAATTTACTGTGCTCCAGACATGATGGCCTTTTTGCTGTCCTCCAGTCCTGCTAAAATAACTCCTGTCACAAGATCTTTATACTCACTGGTCCGTCAAACTGGAACATGATCTTTCTCCTCATTACAATCTCATTTTATTTTATTTATTTATTTTAATTTTTTTGTGTTTATTTATTTTGAGAGAGACAGAGACAGAGTGGGTGGGGGAGGGGAAGAGAGAGAGGGAGACAGAGAATCCCAAGTAGGCTCTGCATGGTCAGCGCAGAGCCTGATGTGGGGCTCGAACCCATAAAACTGTGAGATCATGACCTGAGCCGAAATTAAGAGTCGGACACTTAACCGACTGAGCCACCCAGGCACCCCATAAATCTCATTTTAAATGTCAATTCTTTGGGAAGGCCTTCCCCTATCATCCAATCAAAAGCAGTAACTCACCAATCACTCTATCCTATTCTGCTGGGTTTTTATACAACAGATATGTGAAAATCTCACTTTTTTATTCATTACCTCATCCACAAGAAGGTAAGAGTCATGAGTACAATGATCTTGTTTGTCAAGCTAGAAGTATTCTGAGGCAGGGACCGTGTCTATTACGTGAACCATCATATATCTAGTGACTAGCATATTGCTTGGCACCGAGTTTATTCTCAATACTTGCTGAATGAGTAACTACTTGAAGTTCACATGCCATACTACCATACCCCTATTTTTTTCCCCTATCTTTGCTTCATTATACTTGAATGCAGACTTTTATTATCCTCAAGGTCAACTCCTTGAAAGCATTCTCTGACCCCTTAGGCCAAGTACATTGTCCTACTATGTTGGAAGGTACCCTGGGCACTTCTAGTGTATTATGAATTCCAGTTAATCTATTGAGTATACTCAAAAGTCTAGCACATAGCAGATGGGTATTCAGGCAGCATGGGAATTGAATGGACAAGTTCATGACTAAAAATAAAATGCTTTTAATTTCCAAAGAAGTCATACAGTTAAAAGAGTATATATATATATGTGTATATATATGTATGTATACATATATATATGTATACACACACACACACACACATATAGAAAAGGTTTTAAGTCATAAGTCCTATTAAGGACACTTAATAAGTCCTATTAAGACACAACTTCACCTCTCACTAGTCGTGTAACACCAAGCAAATCACACAAAATGGAGATTTTATTTAGTTTTTTCATAAAATGGAGATAAGATCTAGCTGGAAAGGTATATACAAAGACATAATAAAGCACTCTGTAAACGTTAAAGCATATTTATCCATGCTACAGTACCCCAAATACTGAAGGTACAAAGAAGTATTTTTGTACTCTATTTACTCACAATTTAACTTATCTATGAATCTTAACTGAAATAAAGATCCTACACACCTTTATTTACTGATTAACAGAACTAATTTCCTGATTTAGTAAATGTAAGTGACTGACTTATTGTCATGCAGTCTGAGTGTTTATTACACACCAGGCACTGTCTAAGCACTTTATATGCACTAACTTATTTGATGTCAACAAAACCAAAGGAAGAGTATGTTGTTACTGCCATTTTTAAAATGAATAACACAAGGTACAGAAAGTTAAGAAACTTGCTTAAGGTCACCTAGGCAGTAATTGATAGAGCCAAAATTTAAACTTAGCCAATCTGACTTGAGAGCCTCTGTTTCTTCAAAGGGGAAGGATTTCCTGTTACCAGTTTATTTCCATGTCATGACGCAAATTTGTGTGTCCAGTAACTCTTAAAAATGTCAGACCTAGCAAAGCCAGGTTCTTCTGACTTTATTCTTTGGACCAGTAGAGGGAGGGCCTTCAAGTTTTTCCTCAGTTAAAACTGAGCCACACGAGAACAGAAAACCTTTTTTCCTGTCTGTTATTGTTATTCCCCCTAGACTGCATTTCCAGTTTTAAAATAGAAGTGATGATGGAAATTAGCTCCAAAACAGGCAATCTCAGTTCACACTTAACTTTTACAGGATGCAGCTATACTATCTATATATTCAGGACTCTGGAAGCATATTTATTCTTACATGAAGACAGAAAAGGATATTTTTTCAGCATATATAGGGTAGCGAGCCTTGCTGCTTGAAAGTTGGCTCTTACAGTTCTGTAGACAGCTTTCCGAAGACCGAGGAGATGCTGACTGGGATGCTGTCCAGCTTTATTAAATGGGCAAACAGCACTGACCCTGTCAAGCAAACTTGAAAAGTAAAATGTGATACAACTGTACAGGTGTCCTAAAGTTTTTGTTTTCTAAATCCCCAATTCTATTCAACTTAGAAAAAAACCTTTTTCATGGTTTTTATTAGAAAAAGACTGTAAATATCCCAGCTCAGGTCTCATAAATAGCCATTTCCCTGATACATGTATAGCCCCCCTCCAAAAAAGACAAATGAAAAATCAAAATCTCAAAGAGTAAAGGCTTCTTCTGATACGGGAAACAATATATTGTAGTCAAAATATGGTAGAAATGTAGAATACTTAGGTAAGACATTGCAACTTTTTGATACAGACACTCTACCTGGTAAAATATACTAAAGTGGTACTGCTTTACATTTAGTTTTTAAAACCTGTATCTACAGTAAGTATGAAAATTTTTACATTCTTAATATGCATTTACATATGTTCATCACTCATATTTTTGGTCACTTGTACAGAACAATGAAATACTGTATAGAAATACATTCTGTACATTCATAAAAGTAGGGTAAAATGACTTACCCACCTGCTGCCACTGGCACTTACCTACTCAAAATGAAGTAGGGGACGCAGAGAGATAACAGGACCAGTGGCCAACAGGGGAATGCAAGTAGAAAGGCAAAGGAAGGGTTACTAGGCAGTAGCATAGCTACTCTCCAAACTATTCAAGAGGAAGCACATTTCATAGTACTTTCCAAAAGATAAATGGGGAGTACCTATTTGCAACAATGATGTATAATATATCATGCTTTGATAAATGAAACATAGAATGATTTCATATTACATAGCTATTGGATAATAGTTTTTCCACCTAACCAGTAACCTCTCCCAGTAGCAATACAAAATATTGGAATTTATAAATTTCTTACAATATAACCACAAATTTGCAAAACAAGATATCTAAATCAAAACTTTTAAAATGTTAACCAAACCATAATGTATTCAGACATTAAAAATCTATAAAAAACAACAACAGAGGACAATGACTGATAGGCTTAATTTAAAATAAGGGAATGAGGCAAAGAATGGTTAAATTCTTCGCTAGAGAGGACAAATTAAGGCAGAACAACACAGCACATGTTTTCAATATATGGAACTCTTGTGTGCGCTCCATTTTACTAATAAATCAGTTTTAAAGATGAACATATTTCTAAAAAAGTTATGATTCAAGATTTATTGTTACTCGTAATTTTTCTCAGTCCATTATCCAGTTAGATGGAGACAAGTCAAACAATTTTTTCCAACATTTCTTTTGCCTGACTGCATGTCAATGGATAGGAATCATAATCCGGATGTAAGTCATGTGTAGCTGGCCCATTTTAGCTCTTCGTGACAATTCTAGACATAGTTTTTAATGTAAGTTGGAAAATGACAAAAAGCACAGAATCCTCTATATGTGCCTAAGCATTAGTTGGACACATAGCCATTTAGCTTAACCAGTCTGCTCAGTGAAATACTGTACAAATCAAGAATGAAAAGGAGCTATTACTTAGCATTGTTTTCAACTTTTAAAATCTAATGCTCAAACAACTTAATATTTGCTATGTTCTATCAACAAATAGACTTTATAATAGAAGGACAAATATTAACAGACACGGAGAACTATTACATTTTGAAAGAAGCAGAAAAAAAAAGTTACAAAATCTCTCTCCTGTTTTGGGATTGTTTAAACACTGTTCTAAAACACAACAGAGTAAAGAATGAGTGACTACTAGAGATTCTTTCGCTTTACTGTTTTGTTATTTTCCAGATACGGCTTTTCTGTCAGGACAGTTTAAGTGCTATTCTAGAGCACAGCAGAGTGAAGAACGAGATTACTACCCAAGGTTCTTCTGCTCTCCCTTTTCGTGATTTTGCAGATATAAGTAATTAAGAGTAATAATCATTCTTCATCATATACTTACTTTCTCCCACCTACAGACTGGAAAGTTATGTAAGTTAAATAAATGATTAAACATACTATAGTACTACTGTCATTTGTTAGTGTTCAGCAGGCAGCCTAGCAGACTGGAAACAAGCTCTAGAGTCAGATGGAATGGACTTGAACGTTTGTTCTACCATATGTAATTGTATGCTTTTAGTTGTATACAGAATTACCTAGCAGAGTATTTGGACCATAATTCGTGCTCAATAAACATTAACTATCCTTTTAATAACAGAATAAATATCCTATATATCCTATACCTTAATATTTAATTAAGACTGGACTACAGTGGAGAGTATTTAAGTTCCTGTGGGAATGTGAATATTTGTTTGATATACTGAGAGTATCAGTGCCATAATATCTGCTAACATTTACCTAAAGAATATTATTAATGCATGGCAACATTTTTCAAAATGAATTCAAGTCAGATACATCTATCATTTAAACTGAGGAAAGAGAATGTCTGGGACAAAGGAAACAAACATTTGTTGGGTAATTTTGCATGCCAGCTTCAATATTAGGCTCTTTTTGTATATTAACTCATAAGAAATCACATAACACAAATAATTATGATTCTCTAAGCTCTTTGGTTTCTCAAAGTAGATAAGCAGAATCATACTACATATTAAATCTAGCATATAATGTATTCATTCCTTCACAGTTAACAGACTTTAATAAGTGCTAAAGAAAAAACTTACTTTTTTTCTGTAAATGCAACACAGAAATGAAAATAGGTAATAAATATTCTAATTTAACTATGTAGTAGAAAAGAATTATTTAAAAAATAAAATGAAATATGAACTCACAGTGTAAATCCTCTGGAAATGACTTCAGTTTCTTGAATGAGACGTAAAGCTTTTCTCACAAGGTTAGTAAAAGCTCGGCTATTTGTTGCCGTATCTTCTAAACGGACAATGTATTTTTTTAGAGTTACTTGTAGTTTGGCTGTCCTCCAGAATCTCAAAGCTCTTATAATCAGATAAACAAACAGGATCACTCCCCATATCAGCCAGGAAGATACAATCCACCAAGTGGGAAGCATAATGAGCAAACTAATGAAGGCAAACAGCACTGAGACATCCCTATAACACAGAAACCAAGAAACATGATACCCATCAGATTAGAGAAGGATGTGTTACTTTAGTCCATAATTCAGGTTTACCAAAATAGACAAAATGCTAGTAGCTTCTTTGTAAACTATGACTTTAAAAAATAACATTTAAATAAGTAATGTGAAATAGTTTTTTAAAAATCTAGCAACTAAACAACGGTGTCTTAGGTATTAAAATCTAAGCTATTTTGTAAAGGACGTAAGAAACAGGTGTCCTCTGAAATGACTTTTTGTTTAAAGATAGGGACTCTTCTGGGGCGCCTGGGTGGCTCAGTTGGTTAAAGTGTCCAACTTTGCTCAGGTCATGATCTTGCGGTTCATGAGTTCAGGCCCCACATCGGGCTCTGTGCTGACAGCTCAGAGCCTGGGGCCTGCTTCAGATTCTGTCTCCCTCTCTCTCTGCCCCTCCCCTACTCATGCTGTCTCTGTCTCAAAAATAAACACTAAAAAAAAAAAAAAAAAAAAAAAAAAAAAAAAGATATGGACTCTTCTAACCTAAAAACCAAGTACAGAGTTTAAAATCCAATTAAAAAAAAATTTTTTTTAACGTTTATTTATTTTTGAGACAGAGAGAGACAGAGCATGAACGGGGGAGGGGCAGAGAGAGAGGGAGACACAGAATCGGAAGCAGGCTCCAGGCTCTGAGCCATCAACCCAGAGCCGGACGCGGGGCTCGAACTCACGGACCGCGAGATCGTGACCTGAGCTGAAGTCGGACACTTAACCGACTGAGCCACCCAGGCGCCCCTAAAATCCAATTTTACAAATTTAAAAGTAAAAGTAATTGTTACTAATTTTTAACATTAAAGTACATTTTAATATTAAGATAGTATCAGTTCTTTTCCCAAAAGTCAGATTTTAATTATTTGCACAGAAACAAATATCTCAAGAAAATATAAGCATTTTTCCAATCAGAAATAATATGTACTTGAGTAATTGTTTCAAGTTATCTAATAATCATCATCATAAATCTGGAATACACATACTGCAGCTGATAATATGCACATACTTTGTACTTTTTCACTGCTTTAACTAAAGTAAAAGTATATATGAAACTTTTTAAATCTAGGCAAATTACAAGTATATAGACTAAAATACGTCTTTTAAGCAATGAAGGCTTTGATAAAAATGTAATAAGAAAGAGGTGAATATACGGAGATGTCTCTTAGGATGTCTAAAAAAACATCAATAATACTTAAAGACAGTTATAATCAAATTAAAAAGAAAGTCACAGGTAAGAATGCTTCCTAATAAATATTTACCTGTTCTAATTTCCCTTGGAATCCTTTACTTTCAGGTGATATTGGTAACATCATAAAGCAAAATCTTACCCTATACTTTCATGCATGAATAATGAAGTCTAAAAGTATTTACAGGCCTCAGTGTTGCTTAATCACACCTGTGGCTAAAGCAAACTTAGAAGTTAAAGCTAGAAAATTCTTAAAACCCTTGGTTCCTTCTAGCAGCTCCTTGCATTCTTAGATTTGTAAAGGATAAGATGATGCTTTACTCCATCATGATGCTGAGTGCCTACAAATTTGGAAAACATACTTTGTTATCCCTTACAGTATGAAGCATTTGTCAATATTATAAGAAAGACACATCCAGAACACTGAGGCCAATGTTATGTAATCACCTATATAACTTGAATAGTTCAAGCAATGATTTTGTTCACTTAATAAACTCATACTTTAATAGTTCAGTTCTGTGTGTGTGTGTGTATATGTATACGTATGTATGTATGTATATACATATATATACACGTATATACATATCATGTATATACACATATATGTATGTATATACACGTGTGTGTGTGTGTGTGTGTATATATATATATATATATATATAAAGTCCCTTTTTGGTATTCATGGCCTGGGACTTCTGTATTAGACCCAAATACTTCAAGAAAAGTTTTAGGACTGAATTGTCAGTCTATATTTCCTACGGCTTCTCAGTCAACAAAGCAAGAATTGACTGTTTACCTCCACATCCCATTCTATTTTTGATGTCTCTACAATGTGTTTATGATATAATCTATTAATTTTAAAGAAACATAAAAGAGCGAGTGGCTATGACTGCATGCACACATGTGTATAGGTGTATGGATAAGAGAGATTCTTGGGGCACATGTTATGCCTGCTTGTTGGGTTATTAAACACAGAACTAATTAGATTGAATTAAAAATATGTAATAATTGGATGTTTTTCCAGTTTCACCTTAAATAGTATTTATTTTAGAAAGGTACTTTTTTTTTAAACTTCTGGGTTATCATTAATTACAATGTTAAAATGTATGGAATGTTTATAATTTACAATAGAGAGCATAGTGGATTTCCTCTGCTAATACTGTATATGAAAGCAAAGGATAGATGTTTTCTGGACAGTACCAAATATTAGGGGTTGCCAGGGAGCAAAGCGTTGGAAGGTGTCCATTTTCCTGTTGTTGAGGTTGCCCTGCAGACAGGATACTGGGATCAAGTAGCTCAATCAGCTCCACATCCTCTTGTAACAGGACTTCCTGCTGCAGGATGGTATGTAGTGAGTCGAGTCGGAATCCAATATCCTTGCCATTAAAAAACCCGAAGAGAGGCATTAATACACACATAATTTTGTATGAAATGCTAAGCTCCTAATGTACTAACAAAATTTAGGGGTACTATATATATTTTCAGTATAGCCTCCAAGAAGATACAACAGTCCAATCTATCTTTAGTATTATGTATATGGGGTTTCAGTTTCACTGTAAATGTGAAACAATAAAAATTGCAATGGACATTATTGAGCCACCAGATGTGATATATAAATTTTTAATAAAGAAATGTGTAGTAACTACATATTAATAAGCCTGTCTAGTTAAGCCTAATTAATTAAATTGCTGGAACAGAGCATGGAAAGTATAATCCTGTAACATAAGATGTTGTCCCTGGATACTGTAACAATATAGCCAAAATGTAAGAATTACATCAGCAGGATCAAGGCCTTCTAAAAATGGACAAACACAACATTAAGGAATGTAATGCAAAACCTCGCTAATATGTGCATAGCACTTTATAGTTTACAAAATGCTTTCACATATACCAGCTCATTTATTCCTTCTTCTTTTCTTTCTATCCATCTATCAAGAAATATTATATATACCAGGCACCATGCTTGAGACCAAAGGCACAAAAAATGAACAAAACATACAAGGTCTCTACTCTTAAAGAGTTAACGGTTTAATGAAGAGGACTGAAAAGGAAACAGTTACAATATAATGTGCAAAGAAGTGCAATAAGGTATACCTGGGATTATGAAAATGGCACAGAAGAACCAAAAGTTGTAATGAAGTCCGAGAAAGGAAAACAGGTGATGCCTGCCTGAGCTGAGTCTTAAAGCATGAACAAGAACTGACCAGATGAAAGAGTTGGAAGACGGGGATGGGAAGAGCAAAAGCCTCTCTAGAACTGCAAGTTACTGCTTTTAGCTTTCCATACAATGTATGGTAAGAAGGTGAGAGATGAGGGGGTGCCTAGCTGGCCCGGTCAGAGGAGCATGTGACTTGATCTTGGGGTTGTGAGTTCAAGCCCCAGGTTGAGTGTAGAGAGTACTTAAATAAATAAACTTCAAACAAACAAACAAACAAACAAACAAACAAACAAAACAAAAAGGGTGAGAGATGAAGTAGCAATGTTAAGAGTACATAGGTTAACTTTCACAGTAACCCTGTGATGTACATTTCATCCTCCTCTCCATTCTATAGAGGAGAAAACTGATGCCCAAAGAGATTAAGTAACTTCTAGAATTCTGATTTCAAATCCTAAGTCTTTGGTAGTCAATTATACTTTCCTACATATAGCCTGCTGTATGAGAAAATTTGAAGTTTTATTATGCATTACATGTAAGAACAGAATGATCCTATTTTAAGAAAAATAGAACTTTTACCGGATAAGGCCTTTAGCAGTTAAAGTAAAACCAATTAGGTCCAGGGTTTGAAGGCAATGGGTTTGCTCTTCTTAGCCAGTTAATCATTCCCACACAAGAGCCTACCCTGCCCTAGCTCCTCATAATGGGAACTTAATAGGAATGCAGTGATCCATATATCCAACTATGAGAGCATGTCCTTGATTGTGGGTTATGTATCACCACGTACACTCCTTTTAGAGAAGGAGAAGAATATTTTTAATATTAGTCCCATATGGATATATTTATAAATTTTCTTTCTTTAGATAAGCTCTATGTCCAATGTGGAGCTTGAACTCATGACCCCAAGATCAAGAGTCACATGCTCTACTGACTAAGCCGGCCAGGCACCCCTTTATTGATTTTCAGTTATATAAAATAAGAACATTTGGAACGCTGGTCTTCCTTTAGCCTGGCATTATTTTTTTTTTCACCATCTACTGACACACCTTGCATGTGCCTGTGTATCACTTTTGTTTCATATTTGAACCACTGTTTCTTCTCTCTTCTTTTTCTCTTTCCTCTCCTTTTCTTTTTTCTTCCTTTCTTTCTCTCTGGTTTGTTTTGTTTTGTTTTGTTTTGTTTTTTTGAGTTCTAGTTACCATACAATGCTACATTAGGTTTCAGGTGCACAACACAGTGATTTGACAACTCTATACATTATGCCATGCTCACCACAAGTGCAGCTGCCATCTGTCACCATACAGTGTTGTTACAGTTAGCATTGACTGAATTCCCTATGCTGTGTCTTTCACCCCTGTGACTTACTCATTCCATACTGGAAGCCTGAACCTCCCACTCCCCTTTGCTCATTCTGCCCATCCCTCCAAACCCCACCCCTCTGGCAACCATGTTTGTTCTCTGTATTTATGGGTCTGTTTTTGTTTTGTTTCTTTTGGTTTTCAGATTCCACATATAAGTGAAATCACATGGTACTTATCTTTCTCTGTCTGACTTATTTCATTTAGCATAATACCCTGTAGGTCCATCCATGTTGTTGTACATGGCAAGATCTCATTCTTCTTTTTATGGCTGAGTAATATTCATTATCTCTCTCTCTCTCTCTCTCTCTCTATATATATATATATATATATATACATATATATGTATATCTATATCTATATCTATAATTTCTTCTTTATCCATTCATCTATTGATGGATACTTAGGTTGCTTCCGTATCTTGGCTATTGTAAATAATGCAGCAATAAACATAGAGGTGCATTTATCTTTTTAAATTAGTGTTTTTGTTTTCTTTGCATAAATAACCATTAGTGAAACTACTGGATTGTGTGGTATTTCTGTTTTTAATTTTTTGAGGAACGTTCATATTGTTTTTCACAGTGGCTACACCAATTTACATTCCCACCAACAGTACTGAAAGTTCTTTTTTCTCTACATCCTTGTCAACATTTGTTATTTCTTGTCTTTTTGATATCAGCCATTCTGACAGGTGTAAGGTGACATCTCATTATGGCTTTGATTTGCATTTCCCTGATGATTAGGGATGCTGCACATCTTTCCATGTGTCTCTTCACTCTTCTTAGAATCATGATTCTAAGCTTAGGAACCAATTAATTGACATTCCACCCCACTTTCACAAAGAGAAGAGCACAATTCACTTTATACTACTGTTAGGGAAGGGGTGGAAGCGAGGAGGGCAAAAGGAGGAGCATGGCAGCTTTTCAAGTAATCTTTGAAATAAATCCTCACACACTGGCCTTATTATCTGATTTGGATTCCACACACACAGAGAGATATTAAAACATTAAGTATTAAAAATCAAGTTTTTGCTATAAAAGCTTTAAATCCTACCTTTTATGAGACCTCAATGTACCTACATTTGGGTAAGTTTAAAGAAGCCTAACTAAAGGAAGGCTAAGGCTCACAAAGAGAGGGAAAGCTATTAACACAGAATGGGAGCTTTCCCTCTTCATAGCCCCTTGTACAGATATGCTGCTTAATCAGGTACACTTTCTTTAACACCATCCTTAGCATCAGAACTGTTTGCAAAACTGGGATAATGTTTCCCCAAAACCATTGTGCTTTGAGGCAGTACTAGTAGCTTTAGGAATATGTGATTCAAGAATGTGACAAACTACCTACAATTACCTATAAATACAAATGAACCTGAAAGGGACCAAGACACTCTAAATAATTAAAGCAGTATTATCTAGTGACTAGACTGTCTCTACAAAGGAAGAACTTGAACTATATTCTGATCACAGTAGCTATAAAATTAAATCAGATTACACTGAGGAATTAAGTTTTTTCTTAAGGATAAATTATAAAATTGTATATTACTCTTTAATTATAAAAATGAGAACTGCAGGGGCACCTGGGTGGCTCAGTTAAGTGTCCAACTTTGGCTCAGGCCATGATCTCATGGCTCATGAGTTCGAGCCCCACATCAGGCTCTGTGCTGACAGCTCAGAGCCTGAAGCCTCTTCAGATTCTGTGTCTCCCTCTCTCTCTGCCCCTCCCCTGCTCGTGCTCTGTCTCTCTTTCTCTCAAAAATAAATAAACATTAAAAAAAAATGAGAACTGCAGAAAATAGGGAAACCGTTGCAATATGCCAATCAAACTAGTGGGAAAATAGACACCTGCTATATTAAGAAACATCTCACAACAGCCTTATTTGGACCGAGGTCCAAGTGTCAAACAAGCGAAGAAATTTAAAAGCTACTAATACTGATTGACTAGATATTAGATTATCATCTTTATGGTCGGATGCTCTGTGCTGTGGGGAAGTGCACTAGGTGAACTTTGGCTCACCCTTAACAAGTTTGAGTGCTGAGACCTAGTTAGTACCTAGGTTTATATCCTGGTTCCATATCTTAAGTTATTAACTTCTCTGCTCCAGTTTCCTCATCTGCAAAATGAGGTTAAGAATAGTACCTACTTCAATAGTACCTACTATGAAAATTAAATAAGTCAATATTTGTACAATATATAGTGTCTGATGCATAGTAAGTACTGGTGCAAATTAAGTACTATGTAAGTCTTAGCTGTTAATGTTGTTAGTACACATGAAATAATTAAAACATAATAAAGAAAAGCACCATAATACAATATATAAACTTAAAACATAGCCGATAATTGTTACTATAGTGTTGAAGAAAATAAGAGATCCAATAGACTGAAGTTTGTGGGAAAGGCCTTAAGGAAGAGCTAGGACTGCTTACTGAACAGACTACAGTAATAGAGGAAAAACGGAAAGGGTTCTACCATAGTATAATAGCACAAACACAGACATGCAGAACAGGTATGGAATAAAAGAAAAGGAAGACTGGGTTGGGTGATGAACAAATTGGTGGGTAAGGCTGGAAAGGTAGTTTGGGGCCAAATTTTGCAGACTCTTTGATGCTAACATGATGAACTGGACTTGATTCAATGGGTAATGGTGATATTTTAAGGATCTAAACAGGAAAATGTATGAGACGGTAACTCAGGAAGATTTCTGCCTGTATGGAATGAAAGGGTATGAGAAGCACAGCTAAAAAAGAATAGACAGATTTCTGTTTTTACCCCTAGGCATGGAGAAGGGAATTATGGATGTGTCAATATATTTCAACGATCTTCTATACTTTTTAATACATTGTTCTGTTTCATAGAGCTGATGAGGATCAAATGAGGTAACATGTGTGAAAGCACTTTACAGGCTAAAAAGTGCTTCAAAAGTACTAATACCATTACCGTTATAGTTGTTATAAATGAACTTTTTAAAAATCTTTAAGAAGTACTTTAATAAAAAGGAAAAGGTTCAGATATCATGGAGCAACTGTCAGTATTTTAATAAAAGGAAAAAGGGACTGGTTCAATATCTGTATAGCTAATAAAATTTTAAGTATGTCTGACAAAGGGAAGAGTCAAGCATCTCATGCCAGAAGCCAACGGGGTAATTCCTCGTTCCATTACTATTAAATGATTTCTTTGGTAAGTACTTCCTACAGTTCTCTATAATGTAGGCACAAAAGGGATGCATACAGAAGTTGGCACTTTACAGTGAAACATGTGGCCAGTGACAAAGAACCAAGAATGAAAAGATCAGGACTATGCACACTATGATTAAACCACAGAAAAATGTATATGGATCCGTATACCTTACCACAATCCTAGTATCACTGAAGAATGAGGATGGCTCCACCTGGATAGAGATGATATTCTACGTAGGTGACAAGACACTTCATTGACCTTCTCAACATACCTACAAAGATGAAACCCTGAACAGAGAACTTGCCCATTTGGATTGCTAAAAAAGTAATTTTAGTCAGTCAAGGCATAATAACACTCAAGCCAGTGAGGTACTATGTTATAATGAAGAACCTGGGCTTGGAAACAGGAGACCTGAATTCAAATTCTAACTCTATCAATTTCTAGCTGAACATTCTTGAACAACTCACTAAGTATTCTTAAACCAAACTGAACTATCTGAATCTCAGACATTTGGAAATCTTACCACTTCCAAATGGCAAAATGCACTAAACTTTACAGTACTTGAAGTAGCAAATCAAAATGTGAAAGCACTTTGTAAACATCTTCTTACAAATGGTAATTTACAAGAATGATAATTATCATCTTAAGGTCACAGGCCAGCAGAAGATCCTGAAATCTGCCTACCCATACTTGATCGCTCCTTAGGAGAACCATGAGAACTTCGTTACTTCAATTTTTTAGCTATACTACCTGGATTTTGCCTTGCTTAAGATGTACAAAGTTGAAGCATTCCCTCTTGGGTGGGGGGGTGTCACAGGTCAAATACCAGATATACTACAGCAGAGAGCAGGAAGAAAAAAAAGCAAGCCTCACAGGAATCAGAGAGACTCTCAATGGTCACAATTCCAAGTCTCTGGGAAATTCTGTGATTATTGGTCTCGGGAGACTAAAGTTTACATGTTAAGTTGTCAGGGAATGATAGATTAATGATAAATAAATTAGGGGGGGAACCACTTTGATTTTGCCCAAACTCTAATCATAGACTATGGCATAAAGATACAGACAGTCAAGGG